TTGCTGAATCTGATCACAATAACATCCAGCTGTCTTCTATGCTAGATGAAGCTATTTTTTGGCTCCAGATGAGTTCTTGGGGAACAACTGAATGCTTCAGACTTCTGTGAAGCAAAATATTTAGAAATGATGTACAAATGCTGTATGCTTTATGCTTGTTGACTTTGAATCTAGCTTTGCTCTTAGTCTGTAAGTGTTAGATATAGCGCTCGCTTCCCTGAGCTCCTCATAGTTCTCTGACAGCAGGAAATGAGAATAATGCTGGTTTAACTGCCTGCCTCTGAGTTTCTCCTCCATGGCAAAGTGGACTCCTGCCCAGGTGGCACAGCAGTAGTAATTCTTTGTACCCATGGAAGCAATCTAGTGTGAGAAATATGATGGAGAGGAAGGGACTTTGCTGGAATAATTCAGATGTTCATGCCTCTGGACCAGCTTCTTTACATGGCAAGAAACTGGATACCTTGTAGGGTTTTCTGGGGAAAAACCAGATCAGAGACTGAAAGAGGCAAAGTGAGGAATGAAATGGACTTTTCTTGACTTTCCCTACCTCTTTGACCACTCTGGCAGCAGCTTTAGTTACAGATTTAGACTTAAACCTGCTTACAAATTTACAAACCTGCTTAGTTCCTCTACGGACTGTTTCAAGCCAGGTGCTCTGACATTTTTCCTTGTAGCATGGGCAAGATCTTATGGTAGAGACTGAACTGAGTAAATGAACAGTCTTTCTCTTCAGTATCTTCTGGGTTTTCTTGTTGGACTGCTCTTTGTAGACAGATCACTCAGTACAGAAAAGAGGACTTTATTTGTCTGATGGACCAATTCCACTGCCAGTATGGTAAACAATACAAAATCTGATGGGCTGGCTTCAGATTGTCTTCAGAAGATAACATATAAGACAATGTTATAGGTGTGCAAGGAGAAATCTTGTCCTGCCTTTTCTTTCTCTTGTTTCACGTTGCCAGATTTTTGGTCCCATTTTTGTTGCTTTCATTTTTGGTATAGGTGAAGGGCTTGCAATCCACCCCACAAGTTTAGAGGCAGGAGTACAAGCCAAAATTTGCCTGCATCTCTTCTAAATCTCTTCTACTGACAGCATGAATAAACCAGTGCAGGTACAAACCTCCTGAGCTGGGTTTTAATAACTTTCCACAGAGAGCAAGGAAGTCTCAGTAACTATCTGGTCCTTTCTTTTCTCCGGGAATAGTGCAACTTCATGCTGTCTTTTCCCTTGGGCAGATGGTGATTTGGAAGATAACCTTGCAGTCAGTCTCTCCTGCTTAGCTTGTTCACACCATAACAGGGAAGTATTTGCCATGTGGTTATGCTGAACTTATTTTAAAGGTATGGATAGCAGGGCTGTGTTGAGGTGAGCTGTTCAGATTTCATCTAAAATCTTAAATAGCACTGAAAAGAGGAACTTGGAATAGCTATCTCCGTCTACAGTGTACTTTGCATTTCCGTTCACCCTGCAGCCCGGCCTATCACTCTCATGTGGTGTTATGGTTGCTATAGCATATGTTAGGTACTGGACCACTGCCACTGGTTTCCAGTGAAGTAGCACATAGTTACTGCACATAGCCCTTCTGATAAAATCTTGTGTGTTTCTCTGCTGTGACTCTGTAAACGGTATCCATCTTGTAGGGCAAAGATGAAAGAGTGCCTGAGATAGATGATTAACATATCTAAATCTTGTGATGTTCTGCAGGTACCTTGAAAAAAATAAATCAGAATTGATGCTTTTGCTGTATGTGAGCAAAAATGGCAGATACAAATCTTCATCACTGGGTAAATTTTAAAAGATCACCTGTCATCTGAAAGTCAGCCACACATACACACACAAAAAGAGCATATTAAAAACTATCAGTAATTCTTTTCATACTCCTTTTAATCTTCATTTCACTTCTGGTCTTTCATAGTGAGTTCAGATGAGGTGATGAACTGAGACCTTAAATAGTCTCAGTTTCTCTGACATTTCAGGAGAGTCATGGTTAAAAAGTTTTTAAAAAAATCCCCAAAGTTCCTCGTGTCTTTTGCACTCATTAGAACTAAACTATGTCAAGTATTTCTGCAAATGAATAGTAGCCATTGCCATTTCAGTCAACTACTGAGAGTACTCAGAATTACTTTGTTTGTGAAGCAATAGTGATCAGCAGTAAATTGTAAGAGGGAAGACAGGCAGTCTTATGTTCCAGAATGATAATAGTCTTTAACCTCCACAAAGATATTATAATCACCAGGTAGACACAGTTGTAATCTGCTGACCTCACTCCGAACTGTTTGGGTAACTGCAGATATGTTTATAAGACTTAAGATTAAAATCAGAAAGTCACATTATACTGAAACTAGGGTGACAATATTAAAGTCTATTACACCTGGAAGATCAAAAAGGCCAAAGCTGCAAATTTTTCAATTCAGTTGATTAAAGCAGCAGCAACAATTGTAGTAACAGTATAAAATGCTCTCCTTTTTGACACCATAACTTGAATTCCCAGAGAAAATGGGTTGTAAGTGTCCCCATACCCTGTGAAAACCACTCCACTTTCTCAGGAGTGCTTATTAACCTGTATCTTATTAAACTGTACTTAACAACTATATCTTTTGTGCTGTATTTGAGAGACATGAAATAATTATGTAGAAAAAAAAAAAAAAAAAAAAGAAATGAAATTACTGATATTTTATCAGTGCACATGCAGCACATGGCATGCGTTTTTCTCATCCACGAGAGTGCTTTTAGACCTGCTGAAACAAGGGAAACATAAAAAAAAAAATGCCTTCCAGGTGAGTGTGTGTGGGGACTGAAGATCTAATAGACTCTGAAGAATGATACCTGTGGTGTATCTTGACACAGAAACTCTGTGCAAGCATTCAGCACATGCACTGAGTTCCCCATTTTTTATCTAAGTCTTTGATGCTTTTTTTATGGTTTTTAATGCTGATGTGGCAAAACAACCTCAGAATGTACAAAACCATAGCAACTGCCCCAGGAAGATGTATCTGGAGACAAATAAATGTTCTCTCTGCTGATTTTACTGCACTTCTTCTCCTCCAAGCTAATGATGGTTGTCCTTCTACCAGCAGGTTTTGTGGTGGGTAGGAGTTTTAAAAGGGAAACAAGCCCAGGAGTATAGAGGAACTGAACATACGCTGAAACCTGAAGTGATTTTTTGGGGATAAGTTAATACCACCCATTGTCTGCTGGTTATTTCTTGGATCAAAAGGTCTGTGGGACTGTAAACACTATCATAGAATTACAGAAAATTTGAGTTGGAAGGGATCCACAAGGATCACGGAGGCCAGCCCCTGGCTCCACACAGCACCAGCCAAAATCAAACCCAATGTCTGAGAGCGTTGTCCAGACACTCTTTGAACTCTGGCACTGGGGGCCGTGCCCACAGCCCTGTGCATCCCATTCCATGCCCACCGCCCTGTGGTGCAGACCCTTTCCCTGACCCCCAGCTGACTGTGTCCTCTGACACAGTTCCACGCTGTTCCCTCAGGTCCTGTCACTGTTACAGAGAGCAGAGCTCAGTACTCTGTGTGAGGAGCTGCAGCCACCACCAAGCCTCTCCTCAGCTCCTCTGCTCTGGGCTCAGCAAAGTGAGGACCCTCAGCCGCTCCTCATTCATCCTGCCCTCCAGACCCTTCATTATTTTTGTAGCCCTCCTCTGGATTCTCTGCAGACTCTGCTAGGCACTCCTGTTCTCAGAGGAGCATGAGGTACCAGTGCTGCCCCCTATGCCCACAGCGCTGTCTGATGGCTTATATAGGGGCTTTGCTGGTTTGTCTTTCAACTGAAGTTGGTTCCAGATCGAATGTGCCTTTCTGGTGAAATTTCTGCTGAAAACTGATGTATCTCTGTGGAAACTTTCCATTTAGCAGAGCCTGCCTTTCTGAAAGAGAGAAATAAATAAGTGATGTGAATGATGGTTTGTATGTCGTTATTGTCAGCATGTCTTAGAGTCAATAAAACCATACACGTTCATTTCCTTGCCGTCTCCTTCCAAATACATGCAGCCATGCTGCTCTTGCATTTTTTTAAAGAAGAAATGTACAGAGCTGCTTCAAACACCTTGTGTGGGAATTGTTAATTTCCAGTGCTTACAGAAAAAATCGGTGTAACAAATGAATGGTGTGAAACTGTCCAATTATTGTTTACTTACCTTATCATAAAACTTCCTAAAGATTTTGAAGTAAAGCAGCCCCACAGGGATCCCTTCTGACAAACGAGGCCCATCCTTTCTGTCTATGAAAGAGAGGATTTTGGTGAAGGACGAAAGTGCTGCACAAGGACTGGGTGCGGAGGTGAGCACACATGGGCAGGCACTGCAGCCCACTGTAACTGCAGCGAGTCCGAGCTGCCTGCAGTCCAGCTTTCATGTTTCAAAGCCTAGCTTGTGGCACGATTGCTTTAATGCAGAGCCTCTGACATACTGAGGGAATTGAGGAGTTATTACCTCCAAGGAAAAGTGTTTCAGAGCTGAAGGGAGCGGTGGCAATTTTTGAGTGGCATTGCAATTTCACTCGCCGTATTTCTGGGACGCCGGTGTGCTCTTGTGCTCTGGGTGGGGGGAATTGCAACTGAGCGTATCTCTATGCATCAATCACAGCCCTCAGCAGCCTGTAGGCTTTTATTGCCAAACAAAGAAATTCCCTGCAGAAAGAAGGCTTGTGCTATCCATTTGTTCAGATAAAATCTGCTTGAGATAATTTTTCCACCTGCCCCATCGATCCGTGGCGAGGAGAGCTAGATGTGATACCCGGCTCTCTCGCGGCTGCCCATACAACGCTAGCTGCGGAAGCTGGCAGCTCCGACCTGAACGGCAATTTCTCTTTTTGAAACAGATTAATAGACGAGCGGGTTTTATTGCTCCCAAAAAGAGGGAGAAATCTATATTAAACAAAACAAGCCCTGCACACAAAAGCCTGCTCGCTCACCCCCGCCCCGGCTGCAGGCATACCCTCCATCTTCCCCTCAGCCCCTCCCAGCAGCCGCCGCCGAGGAGACCCCGGGGTTTCCCTAGCAACAGGTGGGAGCTGCGCGGCGCCGGGGCTTCCCCAGCGGCGCTCCCCGCACGCCGGCGGCGGGCCCGGGGCTGCCCAGCCGGGCAAGGCTGGGGCATGCGGCCTCCTCAGCCCTACGGGGCACGCTGGGCGAGGAGCTGCCCCCGGCCCGCAGCGGGAAGGTAAGAGGCGTGCTGCCGGCGGCGGGGGGAGCGGAGGGGACCGCGGGCAGCTTCCCGCTGGGTTTCCAGTGGCAACGTAACGCCTTTCTTACAGCTTCCCGTTCCTCTTTCCCCGAATGGCAAACCTGCAGCACGAGGAGGGGAACAGAAATAACGTGTTCCTGAGGAAAAAGAAAAAAAAAATCTTAAGAAAACTAAAAAAAGGATCTTGAAAAAGGATCTTTGAAATCAAATTCTCCTCTTTTGAAATTCGCCTGTTTGTAACAGTAATGCTTTGTTAGTGCATGCTGCTGAAGTTCCGCATCAGATTGTTTTTCCAGTAAAAGTCCTCAAGAAAACGTGACTGATGGGTGACCTCAGGCACAACAGCAGCAAAAGGGCCGCGTCATCTCAGGCAGAGGTCCACACTGACCTTGAATTTCAATTCACAGCAGGGTTTATCCACAGTGTTTTTCTCGCAGAGAAGATTTTTGCACAGCACCGTGTCCCCGTGTTTCTTTGTGTTGTGTTTGCAGAAAAAGGGGCACAAAGCTCCCCTGGTTTTATTAGAAGCTGTTTACAGTTGTGTGGCTACAGAGATGTTTCCTGATAATGTCAAAATCGGTTCAAAAGGGAAGTAATGTGTTGCCTTGCATTGTTTCTCCAAATAACTTAGGGTGCGATAACCAGATAACAACATTTCTATCACACCCTCTGTTAAGTGCAGTTGTTGTGTTCCCAAAAATAGCTGGTCCTCAAGTGTGCCTGAGGTCTGCAACATGGAGGTCAGTTCTGTGCTATACATGGCCTTTTCTGTCGGACATTTTGCCTCAAAATTGTCACAGGCTTTTCCTCTGCCTTTATCGCCCTTACAGCTTTGCATCATTCTGCAAAGCAGATGCACACTTACAATCAGAGAAAGAGAAGCCTGTAATCAGAAAGTAGACAGCAATACTTTGATGCCAGAGAAAAAATGTTCTGAGGTTTGAAATAAGGAAAATTATCACTTTTATGGCTTCTGGTGCAACTCCATGACTAAGTTCCTAAGAAATGTATCTGCTAAATAGTGAACAAATATCTCTTTAATCCCTCCACACAATCACTTTTTTAAAAATTTATTTTAAATTTTGAGTGACTTATAGTAGTTTAGCATTATCAGGATTGCTGATAAGAATTAGGCTTTCTTACTGTGGGAATGTCTTTGCAAAGAGGATGTATGGTAAATGGGCAAAGCTTGGGAGAAGCATGCTTCAGTGGGAGCTGGGGCATTGAGCTGGGGCATTGGGGCCGTTCCAGAAGGAGCAGGATGCTTTGCCTTGCGCTTAGCCTTAGGCATGGACATGACTTACTCCTTCCCTCTGTCAAAAAAGCAGCTTTAGAGGCTTAAACATAAACTCAAATGGCTGCTAATAAGACTGTTCCGACTCCTTATGCATTTCAAAATGTACATGCCATGTTTCAGTCTTGTGCCTTCTGGGTGTTTCTATCTAATTAGGCTGGAGGGCCTCCAGTTTGAGATTACCTATGTTGCTTGGTGCCCAATTTCTTTATATGACTTTGGCAATAAAGCAAATTACCATGGGTTTTTGTGCAAGCAAATTAGGGACAGATGTAAGCATTCTTGTAAGCCCTACTCCTGCTTTCTCAGCATTGATTGAATTATATTGTTGTTTGGTTCTCTCTCTATAGAATGACAACGTGCTGATTATGGCATATATGTAACTAGGGGTGCTCTGCAAGATGCAACGCTTTTAAATACTTTACCATTTCTTGCTTTTTTTTTTTTTTTTTCCTAAGGCAGAAACAGTATGTTTTCAAGAAAAGTTCCCAGTTCCAGATTCAAGTAATGAAAGAGAGGAAAGAAACCCGAGCTGAACTATGTATAGCACAGCAACAAGTGCTTTGGCTTTGTTTAGGTGTTCCTAACCACTTAGAGTAGAATGAAAAAATCACAATACTTAGCACGTGAATTGGCATTTAACACTATGAAGTATTTTTCCACTGGTTGGGGTTGCTATTTATTACTAAGGAAAAAAAAAAAAGGCTCCTGTGCATTGAAGAATTATGAAAAGACTGTTATGGTTGTCTCCTTGGCCATTGCTAAGGAAATAAACCAGCTTAATTCTCTGCTTTGTTGTTCATATGCCAACTTTTTGAATACTAGGTACACATTTAGGATGTTATATCTGGTGTTATCAAGCCAAAACTTTAAGTGAAATCCTATTTCCAGTCATTAGGACAGCAAACTTTACTGAACAGTGGTTTCATCTTGGATGTTGGGAGAACTGGATACATATTCAAAGGTAGATCTCACCTTATATGAACCGTAAACATATTTAGAAATAGGTGTTAGAATGCGATTTGAGAAATGCTAGGTGGCAGGGATGAAACTGAAGCATTAAGGTACTCTTCTAAATGAATTAAGCCATTTTTCAGAATGGTAGCAAGTATCTACAAATCTTTTTGTCCTTGGCATCCTGCACTCTTACATAACTGAATGTTGATTTTAAGAGCCTAACTTCAGACATCGGTGGATGAATATTTTAGGTTAATTACAAAAAAGATAGTGCACTCCAGAAAACATCAGCTGTCACAGCTATAGTTTTGGAATATTAGAATTTCAATTTAGAAATACTGCATTTGAAAACAGAATTCTTCATGACCTCATTAGGAGGGCCTAAGAATAAGCATCTTCTAACATCCGGTTTCCTATTTAAATATGGCTTCCCATATCCTAGGAACCCTGAACAGGTTCCCCTGTGACAGCTCTTCAGAAATGTTCTGCCACTGGGAGAGTAAGAAATGGTGTACCTTTAAAAGTGTCTTCTACCTGTTCATCTCCCAGGTTTTTTGCTTTTGATTGAGCAGTTTACAGAACCAATTTTATTTCTTTGAAGAAAAGCAACTGAAGATGAAACACGGTTACTCAATTCTTAGATTTAGACCCTATGACATTAGCTGAACAGTTCCACGTTAAATACTCTAAAATATTCTAAGAAATTAAACACTTCTTATTTATAGGACTTGAAGCCATATAAACTCATTGTTCCTAACCACTGCACATATTTTGAAAGAGGAAAAAGAGACCATATGAATGTCAACTAGTGACAAATGTGTACATCTAACTGAAATGCCACACAGCCACCTTTTGTATTAAAAGGGAGCCTTGTATTAAAGGCATTTCATTCTTTCATGAGCTGCTAAGATAGCTGAGACAGCCAATCCTCTCTAAAAAGCAAGAAGGCATTGCCTGGTGGCAAGGGCAGCTGGAGAGGCTTCGTCTTGAATGCTCGGAAATGGATGCATCAGTCTTGGTGAGGCTCTTGTGCCTTCTCAGTTCCCCTCCCTCCCCAGACACTGCTGAGAGATAACCTTGCAGTGTCTTTGAAGGCTGTGTAGGAACCATATACCTGGAGTCTGTATCTATTTAGGAATCCAGTAGCATGTGTTGATGTATTCTATGTTCATTAATTTTCATAGAAAACAAAGTGCCTGCTCAATAATAGAATGTGTCTTCAAAAAAAGCTGAGCTACTTTTCATGGAAAAACTAACACTTTAAAACTCCTTTGTCATCCAGAAGCACTCCAGAGATCAACATAAATCTGCAAGTGTTAGCCATGAAAATGGATCTGTTTTATACTCAGATGTGAAGGTGAAAATGCAGGTGTTCTTGTATCAGAGAACAGACTTAGGAGACCTCAGAAACAGCAACTGGGTCCACACAATCTTCTTTGAAATAGTTTTCTATTTATATTTTTATATTTTCTATTTATATATTTATATTTTCTATTTTTATATTTTTATATTTTCTATTTATATATTTATATTTTCTATTTATATATTTATATATTTTCTATTTATAGAGGAGGGCTTCAGAAATATTTCAAGGTAAATCAGATAGGTGTTTTCCTGTGTTTCACATGTAAAGGAGGCAATGAATGCCTTAATAAGTTAGGCAAGGCAGTGGCTTCATTTGTCAAAACAACAACAAGAACTGAGATGACAGAATTACCAATATTTTGAAGGGAGAAAGCTTAGATCAGAATGAAGCAGTGTATTGCAGTGGGTTAGTTGCTCTGTCTGTTGGTCTCAGAACACTGACCTGAACTCTGATAAAGCATTTGGGGAAAAAGTGCTCTTAGAGACCCATTGTGGATTTAGTGTGTTGTTACAAATAAAATGCAGATGGCTTTTTTTTTTTTTCTTTTTTTTTTTCCTTGTGTTTGTGTGTGTATAAAATGGGAGTAGGGCTTTGTGGCTCGATTAGTTGTTCATTTTTTCAGCTCTTTCGGGAATCACTGTAGCTGTATGTTTGGCTGTCATGTTCTACCTTTAATTGGAAGCTGGCCAAGTGGATGGCAGGTGAGCCTGTTCTTTGGAGGTCTGGACATGATCCTGCTGCTCTGGGCCCTCTGCAGTATTACTAAACCACAAATAAACTTCCTGATATATTTTTAATGACGTTATGGTTTAAGAACAATCAATTTAAGCCTTCAGAGCATAGCTGTTGTGGAATAGAAAACAAAATCCACGAGCATCTAGCAAATAATGCTTTCTATGTAAAGAAAGGCTTGTTGTATCCTTGCATAGCAAAAGGAAGGGTGCTGGGATATAGTATAGTCAACAAACTACCATTAACAAATACAGGTCTTCTGTAATGTCTGACACATACTGGTTAACAATCTCTTTTTCTCACTCGATCTGCGTATGGTATTTATTGAATTGTGTAGAATGGTCTTGATTTTGGGATCATACCTTGAAGATGCTGTTTGAGTTGCTACATATACTGTGTATCTCAGCTGGCCAGAGCTAGAAATTATTCCTTAGTTTAGTGAGGATCTGGTCAAGTTTCCTTGCAGGGGGATTTGTAGGCACAATTGCTGTGGTGTGTTTGTAGAGGAACGTGGGAAAAAGTAAGCCGTGTAGAAACCAGCAGTGTGGGAACTCTGCATCTGCAGGATGAGCCTGGAGCCTTCGTGGTCTGTACCACTTTCCTTGAGAAGTTGAGTGACGTAGCCCT